AAGTTAAAGAGCTAACACCAACTACGATCAGAATAGCAAATGGTATCAAAAAAATGGATGTCATAAATTCATTGAACCTTTAAGAGAAGCTGAATATTAAGCGGAAAGTAGATATTTCTCTATAGAAAATAAAAAAATTATTACAGTTTATCAAAAACTGTATTAAGCAATATGGAAAACTAGCTCCAATCACCTTAGTCTTGTGACATATGTTGTCAAAATCATGACCTTGAGTGAACTTCAGAAGTTTTTATCATTTTTTTTAGGTTTTTCATTATTTATAAAAAGTCGTAAATGATTATTCTCTTTGATATATATATTTTGACCATATACATATTGTAAAGTATATTGTTAAGTATGTGTATGTGTGGACGCAATAGTTATCTACCGTGTCCACACATATACTTTGCAATGAAGCGCGAGCGAGAGAGAGAGAGAGAGAGAGAGAGAGAGAGAGAGAAGTTCTACATAGATTTTTATAACTTTCCAATAAAAAAAGTCGGGATTTTTTCATTGGTATACGTCGAATTACAAAATTTATAATATTATATTAGGTGTTGGAATTAATTCGTAGCGTTTTTTAATGAAAGAATGTTATTTATTTCACATGAGCATTAAAAAATACATTAATGAAAGTACTTCCCATCACTTGTAAAACGCTACGAATTAATTCCAACACCTAATAGTATTATAATATTAAAAAATTTAAATATAAATATATAGTTATGTAAGTAAAATATTTATTTATTAATGAAATCAATTAATAAAATAAAACAATTTCCTACTGCAAGTTAACCGTTGATTAGCTTAACTGGAATTGATAAAAGAGATTAATATACGAACAAATTTTATTATAATTTACGTTACATAATAATAAATTTAGATAATAACAGGTGTCTATTTAACGTTCTTTCGAGACACTTCTAATGTAAAAAATAGAGAATAAAAAATCGGGATATCCTATAAAATTCGAGATGGTTGATCATCGTACATTGATTATGACATTGACAACATATGTTAAGATACCGCGGCTGGTACCCCTATATTTTAAATAATTATTCGTATATTTAATGTTGTTAAAAAGTCTAATTTAATGTTTTATAGATATACTATATTGTTAAATCTATAGTATAGAAACACATTATGAAATTAATTGCGGATATTTAATATAAATTTATCTTTTAAATATTAATTAATTTTTAATTTTAATCAATTTATTATTATTTGGATTGCATTAAGTATGCAATAATCTTATGTGCAATTATATAACTTTAAATATAATGGGTAAAAAATGATTTTGTAAACATACAGTATTTTTCAGAAAATTTTATAATAAAAGTATAGAAATACTGACTCAATAGCTCTCTGATGCATAATAATCGCATGTACAATCCTCTGATGAAGAAGATACTCTCTCTTAGGACTAGGAATCACTAATATATTCCTTTCAATCGCATTTTCTATTCGATAGCTATATAAAATCTATTCATATATATTATGATTGAAACAAGTACTTAACAAGGAACACAAGCGTATTTTATATTACCTTGCGATTTTAAGTAATGCACATACATGTGTTACATATATTATAATTGTCGCAGCAGTACCCCCTATTGTGGTTAATCCTATATAACCGATTAAAAACTCATGTAACATTATAACGTAAATATATTTATCCTGATTAACAAAGTGTTCCGTGATTAAGAGAAGTTGACGGGGCCGTGATTCGTTCAATGGTAACATAATATCAAGGATCAATGGTAGATTTTGAAGTATTCCAAAAAAGAATATAAACACGTAACAAAACGCTAAAAAATGTTAAATCTAATTTAAATTCAATTACGTAAATGTCGTAAATTATTTTAAAAAAGCGTCAAAATATTTTTCTCTCATTAGTATAATAAAAAAATTAATATAAAATGAATAATTTTTTATATATGTAGATATTTATTATATATAAAATATTTATTATATATTTATTATATATAAAATATATTACTACTAATTTTGTGTTTTCTCTTACCTATCATACTTATTGTGAAAATTCTTACGTTATTAGCATATTTTTCTATAATATCAATTTCTAATTTATCCTTCAATGAATTCCAATCATTTTGGATTTGTGCCAGTAGATGCTTCAACTGTTCATTCCATTTTTTTTTCAATATTTGAAAATATATTTTATTTCATAACTATTACAATTTTAAATATAATAAGCTAGTTAATAGCTAGCTTGTCTTATTGGACTTACACTATTTGTCTCAATGATAAAAAGAAAATACTTGATAGTACTAAAAAGAACAGGAAGGACGAGTGAGAGAATCTTGAAAAGAAGCTCCACATTGTATTGCGTAATAAATATTAGCAACTGAAAACAATATTTAAAGTACATACTGTGTGTAATTGGAAATTATTTCTACGTAAATATTTAACACGTAAAAAGAATTTTATATGCTAAAGAACAAAAAATATTATTAAAGCAATATATATAAAAGACAATTTATTACAAAACCGACATATAATTTACTATAAAAATCTTATATATATAATAATATAAGGTTTTTTATAATAAATTATATATTATATTATAATTGTTATTATGTGAATGAAAAATCATAAATTATATATTAAAAAAAATGTGGCAAAATAAAGAAAAGCATTTATTAATACGTGTATTTAAAAAATATTGCTATTTCAATATAACATCACATAATTTTAGATTTAATATACCTGAGAAAGAATAAATGTCAAAAGAATACTAGCATACAGAACTTTATGTATGTGCGTAAAATATGATTGTTGATAGGGACATAACCCAAGCATTTTAAGAACTAATCGGTTAATCTTATAATAACGTTTCCCGATCTCGTGCATTTCATACGAGAGCGCCGACACAACTGCGTCCATAGTACGAATTATTTTTCTTGAATATTTTGCGAATTTCAAATAATCAATACAAGAGTAGTTGTAAGGAGATATTTATGCCAATTTAATATTGAAGCAATATATGTCATTACATAGATATAGAAACGAATTAGTCTAAATTACCTCAATTTATAATTCAGACTGATGTTTCTTAAACATATAGCTTGAATAATTTTTTTACGCAAACGCAATCATGATTTCTATTTCTTAATATAGTGAAAAGGGTTTCAATTTGTATAGAGACGACATAAGATGCCTTTCTCATCATGCATTGAATTACCTATAGAGTTCATTGCGAATCATGTAAGTCAAACTTTGCTATATACATTTTTTAAAAAGTATAAAAAATACATTCATCTAAAAAAATCTAAAATATACATACATGTACCGCATATATAATATATATACATATATAATATATTTTATATATAACATATATTTATATATACGTATATATACATATATGTACATATATCATATATACATTATTCGCTGTATTCAACAAATTTTTAATGTATATGTATATATTGAATAAATTAATTTAATGAATGAATTTAGTCGATTGTTAATCATTATCTCTTCATTTAAAATCAATGAAAATATTGTTATAAAAAGAGCATAAGTAATTACTTCAAGTAAGTATATAGAAAATTAAGTAATTATTTTTTAATTTAATAGTCCGAAGAGTAAAAGAATTATAAAATAAAATCAATTCTCAAATAAATTTATAATATAGGGAAGACCAGAGTCAGTTGACTGTAGGGGTAAGTAGAATAATCGAAACTGTATTAAAAACAAAACACGCGAGACACGCGTAAACGTGTCTGAACACGCAGCAGCTAAATCTGCTGTAACATCTAGTTGCAAATACATCTATGATAGAAGTTATGCCACAATTTTTAAAAATCGTACACCTAAGTAAATATTTTTATTAAAGTTTTTGTTTTACAATCGTATATGATTGTTTGAGATATTCGATTACTACTTAGATAGTAAATGTAGTTCTTACTTAATAAAGTTCAAACAGATTTTTTTTGTTTATGTGTCTTGTTATCGTATATTATTAATGTTTTTAAAAAATGAACGAATGGAGTTAGTAGACTAACCACAGCATGGAACTGTATGATTCTTTTAGTGGCTCTTATAGTACTTACTCAAAATTTTCCTTTAAAGAGATTTTCCTCAGTGGTAAATGTTATAAGTTTAGTTCTCTCATGTCCAATCTCGAAAATTGAGCTCATTCGATGTGTTTTTGCATGAAATAAACAAATTTTGCAAAAAGAAGCATTGATTTGTCCAATGAAGCGAATATTTGTGTTTAAAATATATTTTTATAAAAGTTTTATTAATATAGCCAAAGATGTAGCTTAAAATACATTAATCTTTATTTTAATAATCTTAATCGAATTATCTCGGTCCGGGGGCTAGTTGAATCAGATAGAATACATTAGAAGAATGCATTTTTTTTCATATTAGTTATCCCTTATTAGTTTCCCCTTATTATTAAAATATTATTGATATAGATGTAGAAGTGGTTTCCGAAGATGGTTGCGATAATTATCGTTCGATAAAATAACAAATTAAAAAAATCGCTTTAAATTATTGTATTTAATATTCATTCATAATTAAAATAAACTGCTTTCATGTTTCATGTTAATTGTTTAATATAAATTTTATGTAAAAAACGAGATATTTAGAGTTATACAGGATGTCCCGCAATTTTTTACCAAGCGCTTTTGTGTAGATAGAGTGGACTAAGTCAAAAAGTCTTCTCCATTTTGCAATTTTCGCAATGATTAACGAGATATTAATTACTAAAAATTACCAAATATTGAACTTCAATAATTTTTAATATAATAAATACTATATTTAACTATGCTGGTAAACTTGATCAGACAGTATGTTTTCTTCTTTAGAATATTATTTATGTTAGCTACTAATAGTTGTTTTGAATAAAAAATTACAACAAACTCAGTATATGACATTTTCAATAAATGTATTTTATATCTCTCAATTAACTTATTATATTTTATTAATTTGGCAAAAAATGCCTAATTAAAAATAATTTTCTTTTATGATAGTTTAGCGCGTAGAATACATCACTGTAAAGTAAGATACTGCCATACTCGTAAGCTGGAAAATGAATATTCTATACATTATATAAACATTACAACTTAATCTTTTTTTATCAGTAGTTAAAATTTTAATCTTACCGAAGCGAATCCTTCCAAAGATGCGACATATATTTTACCACATATAAAAACAGTATTAATTGTTCCTCTTTGCATTATAAATAATAATAATTTTTGAGTATGCATAGGTGCTGCATACCATAGTCCATTATAGCTATAAATTGATTTACATAAAATCAATTTAAAATAATAGAAATAATGAAAAGATAAAAATATTTTTGCTAATTAGTGTTAAATTAACTAATGTATATTAAGAAGAATATCAATACAATAATACTTATTAAAAAGCTAAATCTAAATAATAAATCTGCATGACAATCTATATAAATGTAAAATAATCTCAAAATGATGAAGAAATATGATACCTTGCTTTGAAAAAATATAATCCATGATTTATTAATTCTTGTCCAGCATAATTAAGAACAAACATATAACTCAAATGACAAAATGTGATCATAGTAGCAACAGTTATTGCACGAATATCATTCATGAGTATTATAAGTTGAAAAGACTAGGATAAAAGATCAATTATTACGCAATTAGTCATTAACTATAGAAAGAAAGTAAAGTTATTCACTTGGAAAAGGCTGATACTTAAAGAGCAGACGCCCACTATGATCAGAGTAGTGAGTAACGTTGTATAAGTGGAAATCACAAAATTAGTATACCTTTAAGGAGGAGTTGAATATTGGAACTAATACATATATATTATTGATATAATGAAGGTGAGAGATAATAAACATTTACGGGAACACTGTTACACTATCATACAAGTATATTCAAATTATATTTAACATTGGAAAGAACTAATCGACTGATTCTATATATGTATAATGTAACAAAAACATTACGTTGTTAAGTAATGTAACAAACGTTTAATTTATTTATTTACTATTTTACTAGAAAATAATTAATTTTAATCAGTTCAATATTCAAAGCGTGTGATTTGATATATTGATAAGGTAAAATATACCGATATAATTAATTTAATATTGAAAATGTAGTAAAGATATTTTCAGAAACAGTAAATTACATTTAATAGATAAAAATTCGAAAAAGAGAATACTATGGAAATTAAATCTATAGAAAGTGTTATAATGAAAATACAAAAATACTGACTGGATGGCTCTTTGATGTATAATAATTGCATGTATGATTTTTTCACAAAGTAGATACTTCCTTCTCGGACTAGGAATCATTAATATACATTTCTCAATCGCATTCTCTATTCGATAACTGTATAAATCTATTAAATTATAATACTTAAATATTAAATTAAAAACAAATCTTTAAGGAAAGCTAAGTGCATTTCACATTACCTTGCGATTTTAAATAATGCACATGCATGCATAATATACATTACAATTATCACACCAATACCGCACAATGTATTCATTGTTATGTAACCGGTTAGTATCTCGTGTAATATTAAATAGCGACCATATCTCTCTTGATTGACAAAGTACTCCGCGAGGATCAGAAGTTGAAACGGTCGTGATTCATTTAATGGTAGTACAACATTAAGGATTAGTGGTAACAAATCAAAAAACATATAAAAGAACATAGATATATGACAATACGCTGAAAAATATTAAATTCAATTTGAGTTAAATTAAGCAAATAAAAAAAATATATTTAAGATGTATTAAGAGTTCTTTAGTAAAGTGCCAAAAATTTGAGGTACCTCACCAGAGTTCATTCAAAATTACAAATATCTGCATAATTTGGATAAAATATTAAAACTATAGATATATCTTAATGAAATAGTATGGAACATACGATAGTAAATCAAGAGCTTCATCTTTATCGGACTAAAACAAGATAAGACTACATTGACTTTTTGAGATTAAATTTATATGCAAATTTCCACACAAATTTATATGCACATTATCCACACATGTAAAATCTTTCAATGTAAATATCTTTCCAGAATGACCGTTGACCTATTCCTTTTTTGTAATTATTAAAACCGTAATTTTTAAAACTATTATATTATATTATATATTCGTTTTTTAGAAAAGTCTATGGTAAAATTTGTTTGCAATTAGTCAAAGAAGCGTCTATGAGCCTTATCTGTCATTAAGTTATACGAAAGGTTACAATTTCAACATTGTTTTTTTGTTTTATTTCATCGTTAACCTAACGTAGAATTTTACACACGTCAATTTCGGAACTTTAACTTCATTATAAAAAAATTAAACATTTCTATGGTAACTCGATTTATTAAAAAACCACTTTAAAATATTTTTTATTTCATAATTAGTAAAAAAAAGGAAATAACAGGAATCAACATATAATATAAATATATCATGACAATTCATATTCTTACCCATCATTGCTATTGTAAATAATCTCATGTTGCAAGCATATTTTTCTATAATATCAATTTCCAATTCATCTTGTAACAAATTCCAGTCATTTTGTATTTGCTCCAATAGTATCTTCAACTATTCATTAGATAATTATTTTTAATTGCTAATATTAAAAATATAATTTACTTTATACATATTACAATAAAACATTCGAATATACAATTTATTAAACTTACATCATCTTCTTGAATAATGAAAACTAAATATTTTATTGTGACAAAAGTAATAGGAAAGAAAAATGAGAGAATCTTGAGAAGAAGGTCTATACTGTATTGCTTCGTAACGAATACCAGTAACTAAAAACAACATTATATATATATATATATATATATATATATATATAGATTATAATTTGTACGCAGCATGTGTTTCAACGTCCCATATACAATGATCTAAGATTTTCATTACATATAAAAGAAACAACAAGATTAGTTTGATTTGAAGAATTATAAAAAGCTAAAATATTATTAATAAAATATTATCATGCATTATATAAGAAAAGATAAAACGACCTCAATAAAAAAGATACACATAAAAGTACTTATTAATGTACGTGTTAAAAAATGTCACTTTGTGATAAATTACTTTCACAAAAATTCTTTAAATATACCTCAATATACCTGAACAAAAAGAGATGTCAAAAGAATACCAGCAAAAAACACTTTGTGTAGCCATGTGAGATATGTCTGTTGATAAGGCCATAATCCAAGTGTTTTAAGTATAATTTGATAGATCTTGTAGTTACGTTGTTGGAGCGCAAGCGTCTTGTACGAGGACTGCGACATTATGTGAAAAAAGTTTTTTCTAATTGTCGGATTATTCTATTCAAAATTCTATAAATTTTAAGTGATATATGCATTCACGATAATAGTTATGGTATAAAAGAGTCGATTATATTTTTTCAATAGCGAGAATGTTCATGACATAAGCAAATGCAAATTGCACTGAATTATCTCAATTTGTAGTTGAGGGTGATGTTTCTTTAATATGTAGGTTGAATAATATTCTTGCGCAAACGCAGTAATATCTTTTTCTTCTTGGTAATAGAAAAAGCTTCAGTTTCTTTCGAGATGTTACAGTATATGTTTCTCTTGCATCAAACTATAGAAGAACAAAAGTAATAAACCACAGAACAAGAACATAAACCACACGTACGCATATTCGTTTCTACTATGTGTAATCTACCACTGTCGCTTTTCCTTAAACATTTTTAAAGAAATTTATACATGAAAACGTTAGCGTCAAAATCTTCAGATGATGACATCAAAATTCATTCGATTTTCTTTTGTGTTTCATATAATTTATTAAAATAAAAGCTTATTGAAAAATGCTTGTATTTAAAAATATATTTCTGTTCAATTCAAACTTTTACATGCTTTATTCAATATAAAAAATATATAATATATCCTTTGATAGGAATTATATATATTGTTACAAAACTTTATTCGCCTTATTCAAAAAAATAATTATTTTCATTACATTTTCATTTTTTTGTAATTTTTAGTATCTAGATATAAATATATATATATATATATATATATATTAATCGATAAAGAGGGGAGACACTCAAAGTATGAAACAAAAAAGTTTAATTGATTTGACAAAGAGGCTGCGATTCAATATTTTTAGCTATAACGTTTTCATCTCTTGTTTCAGTACGTTTTCTTTTATAATGGCACAGGTATAGCATATACATATATTTAAATATGTTGAGTGGGGCTCTTATGGAACTACTAGGCTCTTGTTCCAAGAAATCTAGTACTTCCCCAGCCAACAAATGTTTACGCGACTGATTTTTTAAATATTTTCCACATTGCTCACAGAGGATCTCATCGCGACCAGTAGCTGCTTCGGGGTAATCCTGTATCAAAGGCTGGTTTACCTCGATTGTACATACGTCGTCTTCTTCCCCAGGGCGAACTCCAGAGGGGACATCGCCGTCATTACAAACAAATCCGAATTTCTGTGACATAAGCAGCATGAATCGCGACTTAGATGGATTAATGAACCAAATATATTTTAGATATTACTTCAATGTCTTTGGTATAATCCGTTACCGCTGTCACCGCGGGGAGATGTCCTGGACGCAAAGAAATTGGATAAGACTAGTGGTACATGGTCATAATAGCGAACTTTGGATAGTTCTAGCACTCAGGAAACTTCTCCTATAAAATTGAGCTTATGGAATTTTTGATTCTTTTTTGATAAAATTAAAATTTTTTAAATTAAAATTTTAGGCATGTCTCAAAGTTGTTCATCCGGGGCCCAAATTCCTATAAATAGGGCATAGTCCTTTTTAATAAACAAATTAATTTGTTAAATAAATTAATTCAATTTTATGATAATTATCTCTTCGAGGTATCTGACTAAAATTAATAACAAATTTTTTTTTCAAATTCGCTATCGCGTAGAATAAATCACTGTAAAATAAGACACTGCTGTACTTGTAAGCTGGAAAATGAATATTGTACTTTATATAAACATTTCATTTTATTTCTATTGTTAAAAAAAATTTTTAATTTTACCGAAGCAAATCCTTCCAAAGATGCAACAAATATTTTACCACATATAAAAGCAGTATTTATTGTTCCTCTTTGCATTATAAATAATAATAATTTTTGGATATGCAAAGGTGCTGCATACCATAGTCCATTATAACTATAAATTAATTTAAATAAAATCAATTTAAAGTAAGAAAATAATGGAAAGATAAAAGTATTTTTGTTATCACTATATGTTAGGGAAAATATTGAAATAGAATGTACAGTATCTGTTAAATCACCAATCTAATAAATCTATATTATAATTTCTATTTAATGATTTCAAAATGCTATAAAAATATAATACTCACCTTACTTTAAAGAAATGTAATCCATGATTTATTAATTCTTGTCCAGCATAATTAAGAACAAACATATAACTCAAATGAGAAAATATGATCACAATAGCAACCATTATTACACGAATATCGCTTGTGAATTTTACAAGTTGAAAAAACTACAATAAAACATCAATTATTAAGCAATTAACAATTAACTTGAAAAAGAAAAAAATTATTTACTTGAAAAAGATTGATACTTAAGGAGCTAATACCAATTACAATCAGAATAGCAAATAATGTCGTATAAGTGGAAATCACAAAGTCAGTATACCTTTAAGGAAGAGCTGAA